TTCTGAATAAAACCAGAAGCAGCAATGAAATCACAATTAAGCTTAATGATAGATTGTGTAAAATGGTATCTTAAAACAGCCTGTCTTTTTCACTGAAAAGTGCTTTTGGTTTTGTGGGCTTTTTTTCTCTTGTTTGTTTGTTTGTTTGTTGGGTTTGGGGGTTTTGTTTGTTTTTCCAAAATATAGTGAAAAAAAAGGAGGGAAAAACTGATATAACTCCATTCCTGCAGAAAGCAGGCTTCTCGTTCTGATCTTCTCTTACAATGTTTTTGTTCAGTGTCTTATTTAAGGGTTAATGCTGTCGAAATACTCACAGACAATGACACTCAAATGTAACTGAACTGTTTGACAAATTTAAAGTGAAAAGTGGAAGGATTATAAACCATTTTGAGAGTCCTGTTTATCCTTCTGGGATGGCCACAATAGACAAGAATTACAGCAACGCTCTGCACTAGATGGAGAAGGTAGTCTCTGAAATGTCCTGGGAAATCCATGTACATATAACTGCCTTCAGAAATGGGATGGTAACGCTTCTCTCTCTGGTCCACACTAAACTCACATTACAGTAAATCAGTTGTTTTATATTCTAATTCTTTTCTTTACATGTATTTTCTTGGCCTAAAATATTCTTGATGGAATATGTGCCTTTGTATAATGGACATATAACAATTCCTGCAGTTTTAATTGTATGCAACAACTACTAATTCTGTGGAATCTCTGTTTTCTAGTCATTGGAGAGTCAGATTCTGCAAAGAAGGTATTTTCCAAGAAAAAAATAGTGGATAACCTAGCATAGTTATAGAACAGATTTCTAGGAAAAACATCACTGTGTGCATTTGATAGAGGCAAGTTAAGTTTTGACAGCACTATCTGATTTATCTCTAAAGGAAATTCAAATAAACTTCCCATAGGTTAAGATGTCACCCACTGGAAGGACACACACAAATAGAGATTTATTACGCTTTTCTATCATGTAGTCTGCATTTAGGATGTGTCAGAACCACAATTTGGAAGAGAAGTATTATTATGAGATAGTCTTTTGCCAAGAAAAAAAGATACTGCTGTATCTTAAAAAAGAAAAAAAAAATCGTTAAAATTTTTAAACAGCTAGTGAAAAATAAATGTATAAAGTTGACCAGCTGGTTGAAGGAGGGGATTCTGCCCCTCTACTCTGCTCTCAAGAGACCCCACTTGGAGCGCTGTGTGCAGTTCTGGTGTCCTCAACTTGAGGACATGGAGCTGCTAGAGCAGCAACAAGGATGATCAGGGGGCCAGAGAGCCTGCCTGCTGTACAATGACAGGCTGAGTGGGTTGGCACTGTTCAGCCTGGAGAAGAGAAGCTCATAGCAGCCTTCTCGTATCTGAAGGGGGCCTACAAGGTTGCTGGAGAGGAACTCTTCATCAGGGATTGTAGCAATAGGACAAGGGGTGATGGATTTAAACTTAAACAGAGGAAGTTCAGGTTAGATATAAGGAAGAAGTTCTTTACTGTGAGGGTGGTGGGACACTGGTGGAGGTTGCCAGAGAAGCTGTGAATGCTCCATTCCTGGCAGTGTTTCAGACCAGTTTGTATGGGTCTTGGAGCAAATTGCTCTAGTGGAAGGTGTCCCTGCCCATGGCATGACGTTGGAACTGGATGAGCTTTAAGGTCCCTTCCAACCCAAACCATTCTATGATTCTACAATTCTTCAGATACTGTGTTTCAGTTCTTGAATGATTCAGTTTACAAAATACATAATTTGTAGAAGTTGATGCTACACTTGTCAAATTAGACTGTAAATGTGGTAACGCACACATATTATCATAATAAACTCTCAGAGAGGAATGCTGAAATTTATTAGGCTACTAAAATAACCAGGTTTTCTCTTCAACAGATTTCCATCCACTGTTAGTGTGGATAGCTTTTAGCTTAGGTTAAAATACATTTCAGCTCTTTTTAACCAGGTTCTTAAACTTCATTTCACTCTTTTCTCTGGATCACATTTTTATATGTTGTTAGAGTAAGTGCGGTTTTATAAGCATCCATGCTATTTTAAATAAAACAAATTCATGTAAAATTAGCACACATTCTTCCAGTTTTTAAAAAAACACACATGTAAATAAACATCTTAAAAGAAGTTGCTGCAACTATTTTTTATGTGTATCAAGCGTGGCTTATTTTATGCAACTGTGGTATCTAAGCCATTTGAAGAAGTCCGATACAAAGAGCGTCAAGATAAAAAAATACAGTTTTTGTTTTGCTGCGTTCCATGGGTAATGAGCTGCTTGTTTCTTCAGAAGTAATTTCTTCTCTGAAATGCAACAGGCTTGCAAACAACAGCAACCGTCATGACTAAGTTATATGGCTAAACGAAAGAAAAACACTACATTCACACAAGAAGGCAAAAGGCAGAATCACCAATGCAATTTTATTAACTAACATTACGATAATGCTCCAGAATAGAGCACATGGATTCTCATTAGAGCGATAAAAGCTTGTCTGCAGGATATAAATTCACAGGTACATCTGTAACTTAGCCGTAACTGTAAACCTGGCTGCACCGTACTATTGGCTATAATGTCCTGCCAGTTGTTCCCTCTCACAGAATGCATCTTTATTTTCCAGTAAAAAGAAAGGCCTCTATTTTCTTAATCCAATCCCTTTTCTCCAGCCTTACAGCTGCCCTGAACACAGACTGGTAGTATGCAAAGGAGTCGCAGGGGGATGGGTAGGACCATCAAAGAGGAATGTGTTTCCTTCTAGCAGTCCGATGGTCATGGACCAAGCAGCATGGGCTGTGCTCCAAGTCCAAACCTGTCCCAGGAGGAGTCACATCTTTTTGTGGGTCCACTGCCATCATCATACTTTTCTTCCACAGCAGTGAACCTACTCATCCCCACGCACAGCAAATTATGAGAAAAAACATTAAGAGAACTAAAACATCAGCAAAATTATTTTAGCCACAAAACTTATTTTGGCATACAGACTATGGCTGAGTTTCATTTTCTTTATGGGTAAAGTGACGGAACACTGGAACAGGCTGCCCAGGGAGGTTGTGGAGTCTCCTTCTCTGGAGACATTCAAAACCCGCCTGGACACATTCCTGTGTAACCTTATCTAGGTGTTCCTGCTGCGGCAGGGGGATTGGACTAGATGATCTTTTGAGGTCCCTTCCAATCTCTAACATACTGTGATACTGTGTGATACTGTGAAAGGGTACAGCAGAATTAGCGGTGGGGGACTCACTGCAAAAAGTACTACGGAACCCAAAGCATGAATCTGGAAACCAAAGGACGTTCAGAAATTTGAAGAAGGCGAAGATGTAGAAAGAAAACTGCAGGACATAATAAACCTAATTCATCCATAATTCATCCAATGGCACTGTCAACCTAGCATGTAAGGAACATAAAACCAGTCTATGCCAACCAAATAGGCATAAAAAAGCTCCACAGACCTAATTTCTGTACTAATCTGAAACTGAAATCAGTGTTAAATGCTGTCACTGGTAGAATGGGAACAAATTTACTGAGGATTTCTTCTGATGCAACACACTGGGAAAGTGCACAGTGTTGCAAATCAAACATGCATGGAAAAAGGATCTGAGGCAATGGTTAGAAGTTGCAGCAAGAGATATTTCAGTTAGGGAAGGGGCAAAAAATCCACAAAATGACAAGTATTCCTCAAGTGCTGAGAGACTATCTATATGCAATTCCTATAATTCTTCTAAAAGCTACATGAAGATATGAGATCCAGCATGAGTTGCCAAAGAAGATAATGTAGATAATTAGAAGGTATGTTCTTCAGTTTAAACTGCATCTGCAGCTTGCAATTTGAATTTTACAGATGACTTTTATGGCTCATACCATGTTGCATTCATAGCACTGCCTTGGAGTACCAATAAATAAAACCAAAACCCTATACATTGTCAAGTGGATGTACTTTGGTGCTTCAAGGCAAAATTAGTGAGAAATACATAGAATCATAGAATAGTTAGGGTTGGAAAGGACCTTAAGATCATCAAGTTCCAACCCCCCTGCCATGGGCAGGGACACCTCACACTAAACCGTGTCACCCAAGGCCTCATCCAACCTGGCCTTGAACACCACCAGGGATGGAGCATTCACAACCTCCCTGGGCAACCTATTCCAGTGCCTCACCACCCTAACAGGAAAGAATTTCCTCCTTATCTCCAATCTAAACTTTCCCTGTTTAAGTTTTAACCCATTACCCCTTGTCCTATCACTACAGGCCCTAATGAAGAGTCCCTCTTTTCCCCTAGTTGATGTGTCCTACTTAAGCAGTAGTAAATTATAAGCACACCAAAGACTGCAACTTGTGTTACCTCTCCATTTAAAGAACCACTGCTGTAAACATTCTGTTCTCAGCTTGTTTTTTCTGCATTATGTTGGCACTTACGGAGCAAGTGCCTATAACAAGTTTTAGAAGCCAACACTGGGCCACACTTCCCAGAAAAAAAAAAAAAACCACAAAAAACACAAAACACAAAACATCTTACTTTATTTCTTAATTTAATAAATGAGCCACTACACTTTCTCACTGGTTTGGTTCCATTTGTGTGCATTTCTCCCCTTCAATGTGTGGTTAGTGTGATGTATCCTGATGGAAAACCCCTGCAAACTGAAATCACGTGTTTATACACAGAGCAGTTAAACGGCAATCCATCTCCTTTATATCCTTATTATGTCCAGGGAAAATAAAAGCCATAGGAGGGAGGAAATACCCTAAGTGCTTTTGTTCTGTATAACTCGAGGGAGCAGGGGAGTTGCAGGCACCCCAAACTGCTAGCTTGCCAGGCTCAGAGGGAGACATCCTACAACAGAGGATTGAGAAACTCACTCTCTCCACATAAACTGAGTATCAGTTAATCAAATTATTTCTATGCCTAATTTCTGTTCACTTTGCTGGCTTGTACTGAGGTACAGACAGTTCAGACAGTTGTGGCATTGCTTTGCAGTGTGGGTTGTTTTGGATATTTAAGATTGTCTCAAATAATTTGGAAATTAAACTTAACAGTTGGTTCTGCTTTGACTTTGGAAGTTGCTACAAGACTCTTTTCTGAGAGTAGGCATCTTTTTACTCCAGCCCAGCTGGCTCAGCACTACAGGGCAGCACACAGGAGAACAGGGCTGTGTCCACCCTAACCCTAACCCAGCCCTCACCCTGTGCCCTCACTGGCACTTGGGACCAGGATGCTGTGGAAAACAGCAGTTTTCAGGACAGAGATTTTGCTTACAAGACATCAATCTAGTTGGCTTGTGTTATCCCTCATGAGCATTTTTGCAGCATTCTCAGCCCCTGTTGATGAGAGCAAACTTCTTGGGGCTAGAGTTCAGCAGGCAATTGTGTTCATTAAGAAATGACATTTTTTTCTCCCATATTCCTTGAGATCAAGGAATTTATTTGTAACAGCATATTTTCCATGGTTTGTATCAAAAATTCTTTGTAACCGCAGCACTGAAATGCATATTCTGTATAAGCACAAAATCTGTGGGAGGCTTGAAGGGTAAGACATGGTCCCTGATGACCCATGAGACACATGACAGTTACATCTAGTATGATTTAAGGAGATTTTGGAGATTATCTTTTGAAACCCAAGATCTTTACAAAGGAGTTTCCATATTCATCTGTCCTTGCAGTACCTGATCTTGCTGTCCCCACTGGTTTAGATTAGTAAAGGTTTTACCCTCCAGAATTGTGTACACTGTTGGTAGCTTTTTGTTCTGTCTTCTACTTGTGTGTCTAGAATCCATCTTGAATAGCCTGAATTCATCCTGTGCAAACCCAATTTGTGGAGAAAATGACCGCAAAAGTGGGGCTGTGTCTTCCTCCCACCATCCTTTGGGAGCGTGTGACCACGTGCTTTTACCAAAATAAGCTCCTCAAAGACTTCAGCCAGTGGAGTTCATCCTGACTTTAGGCTTTAGCTTTAACTGTTTGCAGAGAAGCAGAGACATCTCACAGCATCAACTGCAAAATGCCATCCCTGCCATGCTTGACACGGACACAAGGCTGCTGAATCCCAGAAGTCCAAAATAGTTCCTATTGTCTGGGGATGGGTGAGTGCTTAAGTGGCAAAATTAGGTGCCTCAACCACCCTCTATGAGCTGCTTCACCTAAGAATTGTCTCTTTCCCGACCTTGAGCACAGCAACTACCTACATCCCCTTCTGGGAGTTTCTCTTCTGCCTTTTTTTGCTGCCTCTCAGCCCATTACTGGAAGAAAAATTGCTAAGCAAACACTTCTTCTGCTCTTCTGCGTAATCATTTTCAGCTTTTCTAAGTAAATATCAAATACTGCTAGCACATTCCTCAATGTACTTTCTCCAGACCCAAGCAGCCATCTCAGCAAAGCCTCAAGTCATTTTTGTTCTGTTTCACAGCAGGACTTCCAGCGATTTGCTTCTGATTCACACCAAGCTCTGATGACAAGCTTTCCTGATAAAATTAGCTTTTCTTTGGTCTCTACTGGCACATTCCCTCCTCCTAATCAGGTCACTTGGGACAGACATGGTTCTTTGTGGGCTGGTTGGATCGGGTAGTAAATAAATGCACATCTGATGTAAACTGTGGAACCAATTAAAACTGTAGTAACTTCCATCGTTCAGGTTTCCAATGCAGTGAACCCGAGCATATATCTGGATGAGGATTTCCAAACGCAATAAAAGTCTCTGCTAGAGAAAAACATTTGCCAAAGAACAGCAGTGTTGACAGCAGAAGGTGGTCGCGCTTCACCACCTCTCCAACAGCCTGATTACCCGATGCTGTAAAACCCATCTCTGGCCTTTCCCTTATTGACTATTTGCATTATCTCAATTAAACCTAAGATTTCTGGGTCAGGAGGATGGGTCCTAATCCAAAATTTATAAGCATTGCTATAGCAGCAGGTGCAATGTAACATGAAAAGTACTAACAGCAGTAGGGGAAATGACAGAAATACTCACTCTCCAAGGGTATTCATTCTTTGATCTTGTGTCCCCAAACACTCATTGATGCCACCTTTATATTTAACACCACACACTGAAAATCTGGCTGAGGTTGCTATGCTGCTCTCTTAATATTCGCTTGTTTTTGCTCGTCTTTCAGGGCAGAATATGCAAGGTTCGGACACATCCACGGAGTACCTCTCAGGCTTGATGCTGGCTGGTGTCTGGCATGCCAGACAATTTTGCTTAAATCAACCAGGCATCCCATGGATACAGTTTTCACACCCAACCTAGCAAAAGCTGGCACTTAGGTGAGAGAGTATCAGTCACGGTGTGCATAGTGCCAGGCTAAGCACAGCCAGATAGAAATAGAAATCAAAAATAATGCTAAAATAAAGGCAGAAACTGTGAGTTTAATATTTCTGGGATAATTCTAAGGCAATCATGTCTCTGCAGGTAGTTTCTCCTGCTGTTATTTCACTTCTGCACGCAGATGTTCTCACCAGGGCAAAAACTACTCCATCACATCACAGGCACAGCTCTTCCACAGGTGGAGTATGCAGAAAATTATATATAGGCATGCACAGGGTGAAATCATGTCAAGAGAACAGTATCTGTTCCCTCTGAAAAATGTTTCTCTCTTGTGTTGGTACTTTCAGACATGCTGATGAGCAACAGTGTTCATGTGCTTATCAATAGCAGGTGGTACAGCCACACCTTCCCAGTCAAATCCCAAATCCAGTAAAATCCATGAGGGCTTCTGTGGATGTAAATTCAGAAAAATAAGATGAGACTATACCCGTGTTAGTAGTTGCTTTGGAGGGTGTCATGTACCTGCCACAGGGTGTTAAAGTAACAATGCAAATCTTAAATGCGATTGAGTTTATATATTCAACATGCAGTCCTGGGTTCAGCAGTAGCAGTCATTTTTTTCTCCTTCTTAGTAGCTGGTGCAGTGCTGTGTTTTTGACTTTCGGCCTGGGAACAGCACTGATAACACCGATGTTTTAAGTTACTGCTCAACTGTTTGGTCTGGCCAAGGACTTTGTGAGCCTCATGCTCTGCCAGAGAGGAGGGGAAGCCGGGAGGAAGCAGGGACAGGACACCTGACCAAACTAGCCAAAGAGGTATTCCATACCACAGCACGTCATGCCCTGGATGTAACTGAGAGTTACCCAGAAGGGCTAGTTCACTGAGGGGTTGGATGAGGTATCAGTCGGTGCTCAGTCGGGTGAGGTGGGGCGAGTTTTTGGTCAGCGGGTGGTGAGGTGTTGTATTCTCTTCCCTTGTTATTTCCTTTATCATTATTATTATTAGTGGTAGCAGCAGTGATTTGTGTTATGCCTTAGTTACGAAACTGTTCTTATCTCAAGGAGTTGCATTCTTTTGATTCTCCTTCCCATCCCTCCAGGAGCAGGAAGAGGGCAAAAACGGGGGGAGTTAGAGAGCAATTGCATGATTTATGGCTGACTTTGTTTAAACCACGACACAGGCATAAATCAGTAAGCAACAACTCCTTGGATAAACCTAATTTTATGTTTGTTAAATGCTTTTTTATTCATTAATAAGACATAAGAACATAAAAGATTAAATCCTTCTATTCCATCCTAATAAATCACTTTGTTTCTTAGTCAGTCATCTGTCTGATGACACCATTGACTTCTCAAACACATGCATATGCTGTAAGAACAACCACTGCTTGGACAACACATTGCCTCAGATGGATTTTTTATCACTGCTGTCACCTAGGAGAGTAAAAAGAAAGATAAACTGATTTAGAGAACAATTTGACATCACTTTATCATGTTTACAGACTTTCTCTCTGATGGATTTACACAGCCTCCACTGCGATTATAAGCAATTGATACTGGGTGTACACTGCAGAATAAACAAAAGGGAGTCATAAAAGGTAATCTGACCACAAAGCATGACTGTTATCTTTTCTCTTTTTCCTCCTTTCTGGTTTCCACTCTCAAGGAGAAAAATTTGTAGTATTGATATATAAACTTTAATACCTTAAGGCCTAAGCAACTGCCCCAGACTGCAAAACAACTCTGAAAAGCAGAGAAAACAGCACACAGTGACCACACAAATCTTTTAGCTGTGGTACCTTTCTGTGGCTCAGCCCCCAGCTGTCCAATTACACAAAGGAAGAATTGCCACCTGTTATTTGTATTCTTTGGACAACAGTGAAATAGGAAGCAGACCAGACCATATAATCAGACTTTCAATAGCAGCTTGCTTCTTAACATTACAGAGGTAGACATGAACATGACACGTGGAGAAAAACCTCATTCTGTGTTGCTGTGCAGAGCTGGGATGTGGCCACAAGCACCCTCCGATGCTGCTGTCCTTTTTGCCTGGTACAGCTGACTGGACAGCAATTGCTGGTGATGGGCAGTTGCCTCCTGAAACTGCTGTGCAGAGCATCCATTCACATCCTCAGCAACATCCTGATCAGTTAAACTTTGCTAAGTGATCATGGGGGAGGAAGAGGAAACAAAATTGGATACTTACATTGAACAATGTGAACAACCCACTTTAGTCTGACATGTAGAGTGGCTCCCTTCAACACAAAACCACTGAGAAACAGCAGAAAGGCCTTTATAAATTACTTTTTTCCCCCACTTGCAGGTACTTGCACTAGTAAACAGCTCATCTTTGTCACAGAAAAGACTTCTGCTTTCATCTGTTGCTTTCAGAAATAACTTGCTTTAGTATGAAGATGTGTTTTCCAGGAGCTGAAACATTCTGTGGTCTTTTCAGCACACAGAGAACAGTGTTCTCTTGCAGGATATGTGATGATAAGACACACGGTTATCTGACCCATCCTTAAATGGAGGACCTTCATCATGCATCTATCAACAGTTCTATGCAAGACCTCTGCACTAGATATAAGGATGATTAAGTCTTTGTCAGGAATAGTAATAGATAAAAGTGGCGTACCAATGTTTTATGATTTGGGCATCATTTAGGGAGAAAAATAATACATGTGATATTGGGGAAAGATTGAGAAGCAGTTTAGGTTTAAGATTTTAATGAAAACACATTCATGTTCCACAGAAGGCTAAAAGCTATATTATTTTCTGGAAGTCAAAAGTAATAGCATCCATTTGGCCTTTTGCAAATCACGGCTTATAAAGTACTATATAACTAGCTGAGGCCTCCTTTTAAATGTCAGAGATAAGCATGTGGTCAGCATGGCAGGAGAATTAAAAGTACAGTAGATGAAATTAGATCTTTGTCTTGTTAACATCTGTTTGCATAATGTTTGCTGATTTAAAGGCATCTGTTCTTTTGCAGTACCATCTACTACTAATGCCCACTATATTAGAAATCAGGCCTCCTTTGTATACACAGTTAACACATCCCTAATTTTTGTTGCTTATTTCAGTGTTGCTATCTGATGTACTAGAGAAATCACACTGGCATTCGGATCACATACACTGGATCAACATAAAGCAGCTACCATTTATCACTTTCTGATCATTGAAGTCTAATGTGTCTTTGCATCTAAATAAACTATTTGCATGATAAGCAGACATCTGTATGAAATTGTTAGCATCCAGTTGGCTAATATTCTTCTTCTGTGGTATTTTAAATGCTGTATCTTCTCTTTCATTTTAGAAAGACCAAGCTGGTGCAGTAAAGCTGTTAAAAAATGAAACACTTTCATAAATATTCCCCCTCTTTGGACAAACAAAGGGGGGAAACTGAATGGAAAAGTGCTTAGTTTGTTTTTAAAAGATTATGCAAATGCTCTCAGATCACAGTGCTTATTTTTATCCATTTTTTCAATTCCTGTCTGATTGTGGTATATCTTAGAATTGTTAAAGAGTTTATTTTTATGTTTTTGTTTGATCATGTTCTCCTAGCTGATAGCTCCTGGTTAATTTATGGTCTTCAGCTAGTACGAGGATCCCAGCTCACCAAATGTACGTCTTGAGCTGTTTAAGTCTTACTCTGGTGAGAAAAAATCAGCTGGACAAAGACTTGCATTAACAGGGAGCTGAAAAGAGCTTCAGCCACTGACTTGTATTTAATCTTTAGAGGAAATGTGCTTCTCTCTAGCATGTCTGCATTTCAAACCTTTGCCTTCAGAACTTTAATTAACCTTGATAGGAGCTTAATGGCTGAATCTCTACCTGCTGAGATTAGAGTGCAACAACAGACTGCAGTTGCTCCACCTTTCTGGGGAGAGCAAACACTGTAGCTTTGACTTGAAATGCAGCCCTTGAAAGCAGTGACAGCATATACTGCAAGCTGCAGATGCTGCAGACCCAATTTCCCATAATTTCATCTCTGAGAAAACTGACATTAAAGTCAGAACATACCACAGACACACAGAAAAAGTACAATAGCCATTATGAATGATGAAAGTGCTTTTCTGCTTGTTACTCAGAAGGAGACATACTAAAACAAATAAACATTTTCCCATTGGGTAGATGGCAAAAAAATTAATAAAGATGAGGTACAGAGGCATCTTTTTTTTTTTTTTTCCCCCTCTATCAGCTGTGTTATTGCTGAAGTGCATTTGCCTCCAGGACTTTTCCACTGACAAGTGAAAAGCTTTCAGTGGGCAAAGGTCTGGTAGGTAAGAGGAAGGAAGCAGAATACCCTGCCACTGGGAATTCCCAACCTCCACAGCAGGGCACAGGCATCAAAGTTTGGAAAAGGGAAAATTCATTAAAGACAGCAAGAGCATCATTTTGTTCCTTGTTTGAAGCAGGCTGCAATTTATTTTCTAACAGTTTTACACTGTGTATCACATTGCCATGTTTACTCTTTCTGATCTAAATGACCTTCATTTTTTCCCCTGATTTTAATGTCCCTGCTGCACTGTGTTCTACAATGTGATTTCAGAAAACTTGTTACCCATCAATTACCTTTGAGATGAAGGCCACAGTCTGATACTCACTTCCCTTCTCTAAGACAGCCTGATTCAACACAAAAACGGGTGGTGAGATCTTCTTGTTCCACTGAAGTCTAATCATCTTCAAGTCCCTCACCTAGCATTCTACCCTGTTAAAATACAAAACCAATTTACTTCCAAGCAAAAGCAGAGTGAATGTCTGAAACATTTGATATAAAGTTTCCTAAGGCCAATATCAGACATACAGCATCACAGAGATGGAGCTGGGGTTCTGCATACAAATGTCAGAAAGAAATTCCCTTTGTTCATAAAGTGAGAGTTGTTGTGTTTGTTAAGAGTCCAGCAGTTTACGAGATCAATTATCTCATTGGTGCACATTCATCAGCAATGTCTGTTGCCTCCCATACTTCAACACAACCTCACCAGAGACCTTTATTTCATATATGTAAAACCAAACTGTCTACAAAAAAAATAAATAATTTTTAGAGTGTTTTGCTGAATCTGGATGGTCTTCCTCTGATAACCAAAAAGGGCAGGCTGATGTTCAGAGCTTCAGGCGGATGTGAGATTTTATTTTTTTAACCTATTGAAAACTCATTCTCTTTTTTCCCCTCTTCAAGGTCTGAATTAGTTTCACATCAGCTTCAAAAGAAATAGTAATACAACAATGCTCTTGCTGTCCACCTCAGCACACTTGGTGGCACTTGGGAATAACTTCTTACACAGGTATGCAAATAAAGATTTATGAAACAGTGTCTTGTAACTCAAACATGAATGCCTGATGCATCAGTCAATTCTGCTCAGTTCCTGTAGTTTAAACTAGGTCAACCCTGAAGCAGTTTAATGACATAATTAGCCAGCAACCAGGGAACAAAATACCTGCAATCCACACCAGCAATGCAACGGATAATCAACAGTGCTAGACTTTCATAAAAGGTTTCTATGCACCTGCCAGCTTCTGGATGCCCCTCAGCACCTCATTGGAGGGGATGTGCTGGCACATGCACCACAGAACCCTGTGGGTTTGTCGTGGTTTGACCCCACCCAGACAGCTTGTTACCCACTCCCCCCCTTTCTTGCCCTCCCACTACTCCTGGAGGGACAGAGAGGAGAATCAGAAAGAATGCAACTCCCACGGGTTGAGATAAGAACAGTTTAGTAACTAAGGTATAACACAAATCACTACTGCTCCCACCAGTAATAGTAATGATAAAGGAAATAACAAGGGAAGAGAATACAACACTTCATCACCAGGCAACCGATAACTCGCCCCCTCAGCCCGACCAAGCACCGACCGATACCTCCTCCAACCCTGCAGTCCCTCCTAGCCCTCCCGGGTAACTCCCAGTTACATCCTGGGCATGATGTGCTGTGGTATGGAATACCTCTTTGGTCAGTTTGGGTCAGGTCTGCTTCCTCCCGGCTTCCCCTCCTCCCTGGCAGAGCATGAGGCCCACAAAGTCCTTGGCCAAAACAAAACATCATTTTTATCAGCTTTGTTCCCAGCCCAAAAGCCAAAACACAGCACTGCACCAGCTACCAAGAAGGAGAAAAATGACTGCTACTGCTGAACCCAGGACAGGGTTGCAGGCTGGGAATGTAGCATTGCCCACGCCCATCCCTCTGCCAACAGCCCTCTGACCCACGCCAACACCTCTCCTCTATGTCAAACCCAGCAACCTGCAATTCCCTTATCATTTAACATGATTCACATTCATCTTTACTCTTTTAAAGGATGACCTTTGGGCAAATGCTTTCCCAGGCAGTTGGCTGTCCCATTCATGGTACTCTTAGCAGCAACTGGGAAACAGGAGATTTTTTCAAGGGTGGGCTGTGCAAGAACTGCAGATTTACCAGGTTAGTTTTATAATATAGTTGGGTTTTTTTATAATCTGGTTTATTTTTTTAGGCTAGTTTTACAATTTTCTCTAAAATAAAACTCGAATTAAAACTTTCTTCAGCTTCAAAGCAATGCCTTGTGAAGACTGCAGGCCAGACTAACATGGGAAGACTGAATCTATTTGACTGAATAAATTCATACTAATTCCACAAGCTGTTCCCTAGAGGAAAAGCAGATGAGCAAAATGCACTGGACAGTTGCAAAGCAGAATACAATACATAGAGTGAAGTGCCACATCTGCAGTTAGCATGTCTTACCAGAACAATTTTGCCTACAGAGCCTCCAGCCAGTGTCAAGACAATTTATCACCAACCATCTATGGCAAAAGACAGTTCTACATATTTCCTGGGTTTAAGTATTCTCTCCTCTACCAAGACCCGGTAAAAGCTTATGCTCAGGTACCAAAACAAATAGCATGTAGTATGTGTGTGTGCTCTTTCTGAGCAGTGCTGGAGACCCTACAGGTGCAATGTCATTTTGGGTTTTGTGCATTCATAGGAAAAGCAAAGGGGTACCCACATAACAAATAGTTTAAATTTACACTAAATTTACATGGAAGTTTTCATCCGATGGGCAAAGGGAAAAGCACATGGCAGTCAGTGGAAATTGCCAGACAGTCACTAGGGAATAAGAAATCTTCTCACTACTTTCATAAACATATTGTGAATATCCTGTTGCCTCAGTTCTGTTTTACACCTCCTCTAAATACATCATTTTTTCCTCAATGTTCTCTATATACATTTTCTGCCTCTTTTCAAGCTCCTTTCTACTACTGCTCCCTGGCCTGAAATTTTAGTCTCAGACTATCTGCCTTTGAAGTCAGCAGCTCTCAGCTCCTTAGACTAGCTCAGCCTGACTTTGTAAAAGTGCCCAGAAATAAAAGTCTGAGAAACAGAAAAATAGACTGTTTGAAACCTTTTCCTGACTCTAGTCACAAGGCATCTTTGAAGTCTCGTAAAGAATTCATTTCACCCTTTCTCTTTTTAGAGTGAACACACATGACAAATATCCAGTTATTTTTAGGTCATTAGAATCCTGCTCCCTCTTCTGTCCTCCCTCTTTTTTTCAGTGAAGTAGCAGTTCCCCAGGTGAAATCATCAAAACGAGAGTCAGCATCTCTGTGCACCATGAGAAATGTTGATGTGTCCCAGCTGAGAAGCTATACTCTGCCCCTGGGAAAACGCACACTTCTCAGGCCCAAAGGGCCAGAGTCATCCCCTCATTTTGCTCATTTACAATTTTCCATCAGGATTTAAAAATTCCCTTTGGGATAGAAATTAAATAGCCATTAATCAGGCACGGTCAGAAATGTGAAACTGGGAAAAATCGTTGACTGTAATAGTGGGAAAGATTCAGCTTGCCTGCAGTTCTAAGCAGTGATGTGACATGGTTTGTTTTCCTCTTCTCAGTCTTCCCTGAATGAGCAAACCCCTGAGTGTGGCAATACTTAACATTCCTAGGGGAACCTGCCATTAACAATTACATTTGCAATTACTCTTACCTCTGGCAAATGATCCAGCATTTACATAACTCAACCACCTCCACAGTGAGAAATAATTGCACTGCCCATGAAATAATGCTGGATTAGGTTTAGACTGTTAATGTAACTAAAAATGTTCAGTTATTTCAGTGGAAATTTGGAGGGCACTACAGTTGAAAAGCAATGGGATATTCTGCATTTCTATGTTATGGAATAACACACAGTTTTAGTGATATTTACCTTTTATGTTAAGGCCAGAGGTTACCCCATGGAGTGTGTTGGCTGCTGCAGTGACTGCTAGTACCTTCCAAATACCAGTACAGTAAACTGGTATGGCCTAGACCAGCTACTGAAAATAAATATTTAAATCATACCTGGTGTGATATAATTAGTTTGCATATTTAAATAGTGAAATAGAACTGTAATGTAATATAAAATATTCAAAAAAATTGTTTGATTCACAAGTTATACTGTTTCTAAAAAACATTATTTCTTTCAAGGAAGATGCATAAAAATTTCTGAGCAAGAAACTTACTAGGTTTTTCCACAGAAACTTGTGACAAGCTTACAAGCATTTAATGGTTGTTACAGACAATAACAGGATTAAAAGCAGAGCTTCTGGTTTATCAAAAGCAAATAAAATAAAACCCAGGTTTCCAAAAATGAATATTTAATCAGTTTTTAAATGGAATTTAAACTGAATTGTATGCCAGTAACTTGAAAAGAAGCAGTGCCTATGCAGATTTAAGTTCAGAGAAGCCTCATGGCTGCACATGTTGCATGAGCTCATTTTCCCACCATGTCTTTATGTATCTCCATGCTGTCCACATACACATTTTGAAAGCACTCCATATTTTTCATTTTGTTTTTAAGACTTTCCAGTGAGATGTAATTCTAAATTAACACACTAAAACCCTAGTCATTACCCTTAGTTTCATTAGGTTTTTTACATTCCAACAAACGTAGCACTTCAAATACTAACTTTAGAGTCCAAAGCCAGTTCATAATGTGCTGTATAAAATCATATTCAATGTTTGACTTCCGAAGATTTTCTACAACATTCCCCACAATCTATATAAAATTCTACTAATTCCCAACTATATAAAAATAGAACCATCTAAACCAATTTCTGCCTTGCAACAGAGCAATATATAAATTACACTGAAGTCAGTGCTGACGGACACAAATGTAATTATAATGGAAGCAAAGAGTTTTGCTACATGCGAAGAATGTCAGTCTGTGATGTTTTTAAAGGAAAAGCAGATTGCTTGACACAGGCAGTCTGCATTAATGGCATTCCAGAGACGTATGACCTAGTAAGGAACTAAGACACTTAACATAGGTTGCTAGAGATTTCTGGGTTGATTTCTGGGACAATTTAACTGTCAAAGTTGCTAATATTTGCTATCTGAGGTTATTTGGAGAGAATACACCGAGAAAAAAGAACAGACACACAATGACCTTTAGGTTTGCAAAGCATTCAGAATCTGAGCTTGAAACAGAGCTATAGAGACTCAGCTGTGATGAGACCTGCCGGGGGTACAGAGAGGTGGATAGCAGGAGTGAGAGTGGGGCCAGACTGCCAGGAGGTACCTATTTCACCACCAACTCTGGTGCTGGTGGATTTAGAGGTCCTCACATCATGTCTCACATTAGAAAAGGTCATTCTGCAAACTTGAAAACATGCTGGCTACTGAAAGGGTAACTCTAATTGGAATCCCACTTCCTTTAGGTGGAGGGTTTCCTTTACAAAATAATTATCTTTAT